TCCCCTTCTGTCATCATTGTCATCCATTTAGTCATCCACCTTCTTCTGCTAATTCTTAGCATGATGGCTCAGAGGATGAGCTTTGAAGTTACATGGGCCTAAGTTGGAATCATTGTCACATACTAGCTATGTGATCTTGGGCAGTTGACCTAACTCTTCTGAACCTGTACCTCAGAAATAGGATAATAATAGTTAGTGCCTACCACATAGGGTTAGTTTGAAGGTCAAATGGGGTCATTATGTAAATCACTAGCATAGCATATGGCATATAATAAGTGCTCAGTAAACAGTAGCTCCTACTAATATTATGGTGATGATGTTGATGCTTTCCATCACTCAGGTACCTCTGCCTTGGTTTAGGTATTTATTTTCTCCTGCCCAGACGATTGCAGTAGCCTCTTAACTCACCAGTCTCCCTGCCTCTCTGGTCTTGCTCACCTTCACTGACTCTTATTTCTACCAGAATGTTCTTTCTAAAACACAGCTCTGCTTACATCGTTCTACTGCTTAGGACCCTCAAATATCTTCTCGTTGCCTAAAGGATAAAGGCCAAACTTATTAGTTTCAGGTGCCTGCTAGCTTGTAGGCGTGCTCAGTAAATATCTGTTGAATGCTAATTTGCTGACTTACCACCTGTAAACCACTGTGGCCACAGGCTGGCTCATCAGTGTAGGAGGACTTTCGACTCTGGTAAGGGTCTAAGCAGGACTGGACACAGCGCACCTCCAGGGGGCACTCTTTACTTATATTTTATGTGAGTGGTACCCCTGGAACACAGTGATGTTCCCTGGGACAGTGCAGCGGCCTGGAAGGGCTCTGAATTCTTGTGTAGCCTTCCCCCTTGGGCAGGTAAGTCGTGTGGAAGTTTTGAGCCTTAGCTGTAAAGTGGGGTAGAAAGGCCTGTGCTACCTTCCTTTACAGTTGTGGGGAGCCTTCTGAATACAAAAGGTCTTATAAACTGGGAAGTGCTGTCTCTCAGAAATCGCTCTTATTGTCATCAGTACTGACTGTGAGCGGTAAAGACGAAAAAGAACCTAATTGCCTGCAGTTTCTAAGATAAAAGCCCCATTATGAGCAGTGACTGTGTGATAGGCTCAAGGATATTATGTATTTATAACTTAAAGTACCTTGTTTTTCTTATTTCAACGGCAATACTCATAATAGCAGAAAATAGTAGTCAAAAAAGAGAAAATAAAAATACCCATAACCCCACCCACACAGAAGCAAACATTTTTAATTCCTTGATATATTTCCTTCTAGAATATTTCCCAGGCATATGCAGTGTACATACCATTTTATAACGTGCTTTTCCCACCACTTGATGTGCCACAAACCTCTTTTCACGTTAATAAACACACCTTCACAGTGTGATTATTAATGGATACATAGTGTTCTGGTGTGAGGACATACTTTAACCAGCATGCTCTTGCTGGCATTTAGGTTAATTCTTCCTTTTCCCTGTTTCAAATAGGCTGCAAGGAACATCCTTGTAGCTAACGCTGTGTGCATGTCCATGCTTATTTCCTCAGGTTAAATCACAGAAGTGGAATTACAGGGTCAAAGAGTAGGCATATTTTTTTAAAAAGGCTTTTGCAAAGAACTGTCAGTTGCCACTAGTAAGATTGTATGCTCATTTGGATTTTGAAGGTCATTTGTGTCTAATAGTGGAGCATGCAAAATAAACTTTGAACTTTCAAATGGAATTAGTCTCTGCTGGGCTGTAATACGGGTTTATTCAGAAATTTGGGGAATGGAGCTCAGTGATGGAGTAGTAGGAAAGCCGTATTAATAGGTTTTAGGCTACTTTCTTCTCTTTGGATTGTCTTAATATTTAAAAATTGGGGTATAATTTTTATAGAATATAGTTTTATCTTAATTGATTTTGGTGGGGACAGCTAGAGCTCACACATATCTGGTTCTCCTCTCCTTCCAGGCATATGAAAGATGATATTCCCCAGTTTTTTTTTTTGCAGTGGGTGGGTCTAGCCAATGGGCTACAAGCAGAATGATATGGGTCCCTTCTGGAGTGAAAGACTTAATTTCCAGTACGAGGTGGCCCCCCACCCCCTGCAAGCTCTCTTCTGCATGTTGACTGAGGGGGCCCCGAGTTACAGATGGTACACGGCAGGATTGTGAAGTCTCTGAGTATCTCTTGAGGACAGTTGCCCTGGACAGTCACCTGTACCACAGTGGACTTTCTGTGAGTGAGAAATAAACTTGTGCTAAGTCACTAAGATTTGGGGGTTATTTTTTTTTAAAACTGAAGCATAATCTAAGTAATCCCAACTAATACAGTGACATAATTTGATTCCAAAGCTAAGTTATTAGTCACTTCACAAATCCTTCTTAGAGTGACTGTTCTGTGCTGGGCACTGTGGAGGATAGAAGGAAATATAGACTTAATTTCTGCAAAGTGTATACAACTTATGGTTCATCAGTTTGTTGAATAACATGTATATATTGAATATTATAGATCTACATAGGTAGATGGATAGTGTACACTCTTTAAAGGGACTGGTTCCCATATGAATAACAGGTATGTCCTAGCACAATGCATCCTTCTTCTTCTTCTATGGCTTCTTCTTCTTTTTTATGTCCCATGTGGTTCTGATGGGGTAGCCAATGATAGACCCCACTTCCCTGACCACCAGAAAAAGCTTGTAACTTCCCTGGAATTTTTTGAATTGAAATGGAGCTGGAAGAATTGAAGATCTTGTCCCATGTGTCATGAGCTGTAGGAATTGATCCCAGAAGCAATGTCCCCGAGGAGACTATGAGGACAACTCATAATAGACCAAAGTTGAGATGAAATCCAGCATTGAACAAAGACGGACCCTAATGCTGTTTGATTTCTGGGATCCTGACTAGCCTGGGGCTGGTACCATCTGTGTGCCTTCAGATGAGCTAGCCAATACATTCCTTTTCTTTTTTGTTTAAACTAATTTCAGCTGGTTTCTATCTCTTCCAATAGAAAGGATTCTCATGAATATAACCAATCTTATATTTGGTGACAAAAATAATCATGTGCTGATAACCACTAACATTTATTGAAAGCTTTACATACGTAATCTCATTGAAGCCTTATAACAATCCCACCACATTGTAAAGTGGGCACGATACTAATAAGTATGCCAGAGGAAGAGAGTGAGGCTGAGCAAGACAGTTAACTTGCCCAAGGGCATGCAGTTTGTAAGTGGTAGGTGGGAATAAGACCCAGACAGCCCAATTCCCAAACTCACATTCTTAACGCTGTTCCACGTGAGCACGAGCCTTAATATCAAGGTTATAGAGAGTGTTTTCTATTTTTTGTTTCTCTACCTGAAATTATCTTGAAAGGATGACAAAATAATTTGTGGCTGTTTTGCAGAAGTATTAATACATACAGTTCCTTCCACTTCGTAGAAGTGAAATACAAATTCTTTCTTTAAAAAAAAAATGCTTACAGGGCTTCCTTGGTGGCGCAGTGGTTGAGAGCCCGCCTGCCGATGCAGGGGACGCGGGTTCGTGCCCTGGTCTGGGAGGATCCCACGTGCCGCGGAGCCGCTGGGCCCGTGAGCCTATGCCCCACGGCAGGCCTGCGCGTCCGGAGCCTGTGCTCTGCAACGGGAGAGACCACAACAGTGAGAGACCACAACAGTGAGAGGCCCGCGTACCGCAAAAACAAAACAAACAAAACAAAACAAAAAATGCTTACAGAATCTAGAAGGAGCATTTGATTATTTGGTATAATTCTAGAAACTTTGCTTAGAGGTCTTGAGTTTGGAAGGTGAGAAATTGTGATAATAAGAACCTTGGATGAATGAATTAATGTTTTCATCTGGATAAAACCCCCATTTTTCTTGCTGTATTATCCTGTGTCACCCATGTTTTTTATTTTATTGCTTTCCCTCCTTTTGAATATCAGGCCGACTTGGAGAAGCCCACAGGTCTTCCTGGTGAACTGGCCTCAGGGCAGGGGCACGCAGTTGCTGAGTGGGTTTTCAAGCTGCTGCAGTGGATGAATGCGGCTGTCTGCACTCTCCCGTGGAGCGTGAAGCCAAGGGGAAGCCTTGGGAGGCAGCCACTCAGCCACTCATTCACACAAGGGCAGCATGGGGGCTGAGGCTGCAAGCAGGGTTGTCATTATGCTAACGGCACCCATGGAGCCAGAGCCAGTGACCCCTTGGAAGCAAGAACTCTTGAAGGACCATTTGAAGTCTTCGTGCTATCAGTTTGAAGACGTGTGACGTCTGTACTTGGCACCTCCTAATCGATTTTATTTTATGCTCGCATAGTGAGCAGTGGTCCAAAGACCAAAGACCTTGCAGACCTAACAGAAGTTTAAGGAGAGGTAGTGCATTAGAGGTGGCCATTGAGTGCACACGTTCAGATTTTGGACTCCGGAGACACACTGCCTGGATTCACATCTTAGCCTTTGGCCTCATTGGCTGTGTGAGTTCAGCCAGGTGACTTCACCTCTGTGCTTCCATTTCCACATCTCTAATGTGGGAGGGATAGTAGCACCCCCTGTAGAAGGTTATTTGAAGTATAAAATGAATTAGTACATATAAAACAGTTCACACTCGACCCTTATAAAATGCTCCATAAAGGATAGGGGGAAAGCTTTGGAGAC